ATTCGATTCTATTCTGACTCTAATTTCCAACTTCCGATATTTCTTATAGCATAAACAAGGCCATATCCATATTATTTTGGTACCCTACTATGAATTGAAAATTAACTTGGTGCATTTTCCCTCATTAGATATATATACTAATAACTCGATTTAAACTTAAGAGCCCGTTTGATTCCCATTTTTATGAGAAAGAAAAATATAGTCATTATGGAGCCCACACAAGATATAGAGAGTCAAATATGATGGCTTAATGTGATGAATAACGATTATATTTTTCATTTTTGTGGCCAAAGAATGGAAATCAAATGGGGGCTAGATTTTATATATATGTGATTCAAGAAATTTTTGAAATTGAAGCATACAAGTCCTCGACGAGCCACCTGGTGATGTAAATTAGACGGACCACCTTGGGTCTTGTTTTTCCAGACACGTTGTGAGTCGTGCTGCAAGTTGGAACGTCTGGAGTGGTGGACTAGGCCCAGGTGCTGACAAGGTTCAGGTCATTCGATCTGCAAATTGGTTTGCCTGACTAGGGCCGGTTCGCATTCCAACTTAATGCCTGCTATATAATCCTATTTTTTCTTATTCTCATGTCAAAAGTAAATTTTTGACTACCAGTTATGGTGAAGAATAAGGAGATTAATATTTATAATATGTCGAACTCAAATTTGGTAAAAGAGAAACATCTCTTTTAGTTAACCATATTCATTTATGCATCCAATTTAGATATTTATAGAGAAGCGATATCTTACCCATGGTAAGTATTTATGGTGAAGAATAAGGAGATTAATATTTATAATATGTCGAACTCAAATTTGGTAAAAGAGAAACATCTCTTTTAGTTAACCATATTCATTTATGCATCCAATTTAGATATTTATAGAGAAGCGATATCTTACCCATGGTAAGTAGGATAAGACATGTCAAGTCTACAATTTTTGACAATACAACGTTGAAATGTTGAAAATTGTGAGTTTGACTGTTGACATGGTATTACAAGATAACTCTTATCCTCTATGAGTAGGAGATCAATTCTGAATGTTTGTCATCATGTTTACCGTCCACTTATGTTCACCGAGAAATGCAAAACATAACGAAATAATTGTTTAACCAATAATGAATTCACGAAATAAATTGCCGCACTAAGGACGCCGACAACTGCTTTCGCTGAAGCAATTGTAGCAACTCCGATGTTCATTGATTTTGCAACTTCTAAAATTTTAAGTTGAAAATTCTCCTCACGCTTCTTTTTTTTTTTTTTTGAGGATTTATGTTATAGATTTCTTATTGATTCTTCCTTCATTCCTTTGATTTTGAACATCTCCCTTGGAATGCCTCGTTCTCTCATCGATTTTATATTGAACACCAATCCAATCTCGCATTGGATGGGTTTAGTGCCCTAACATATTATTTTCCCCCCTCAAATTATGAAATGTATTATATTGCATATAAGCCGGGGCAGAATTAAGACTGCTCAAAAAATAAAAAATAAATAATAATAAAAATAAAAATAAATAAGTAATAAAATTTCAATAATGTAAATTGGGTCAAGGGACTGGACCGGGCTACATCGACTTTGCATGTAAATTAAGAATGGGAAAATTTCTTAAGAGATTAATTATGGCACATTTCAAAAACAAGAAAACCAGTTTCAATTTTCAAAAATAAGATTTTTATTAAAAATTATATATCATTTAATTAATTAATTAATTATTTAGTAATTAAACATATTAAAGTCACAAATTTATATAATTTGATCACAAATTAACGATTTAATTCGTCACTTATTATTTTTTGATCACAAATTCGAAATTTTATGTCACAAATTATTTTATTATAGGTCACAGTTTGTTCATAGATCACAAATCGAAAAATTTATAGGTCACAGTTTGTTCAACGATCACAAATCGAAAAATTTATAAGTCACAATTTATTTATTGGTCACAAATCACAAATATTATAAGTCATAACTTATTCTACAGTCACAAATTATAAAATTATTGGTCACAAATTAACAATTTTTTAGATCACACATTATTTTTCGATCACAATTTATTTTTTCATTGATCACAAATTTACCAATTTAATAATCACAATCAACCAAATAATTTATGACCACTACCAACACTTACGATTCACAGTTACAACTTACAGGTCAAGTATTCAATTATGAATCACAATCACAATTTTCAAGTCAAGTATCCAATTGTGAGTCACAAATCAACAAAACCACTATAACTACCGCCATGACCACCACGACCAACTGTGATTCCCAAATTGATCACAACTCATTTTCTCATTGCAAATTATTGGATTAATTGGTCACGATTAATTTTTCGATCATAATTTAGTGCTTGTTTGGTAGAGATTTTGATAATTGATTTTTTGATTGTTAGAGATAAAGTGGATCCTACATGTAAGAGAAGAATTCAAAAATGACTGTTGAAATAATGACATAATGGTCAAAAAATTGATTTCAATTGGCTTAAAATCTAAATAAAAAAAACTCTTAATCAATTATCTTAATCAATTACTGGAGTCACAGTCACAATTTTCAGGTCTCGTATTCAATTTTTGAGTCACAATTGGAGTTACAGTCACACAACCAACGCTCCACCCATTTCCACAACCACCGTATCGACGAGCAGAACTGCACACCGCCTTAAACAATACACTCCGTCGCTAGATCTAACGAAAATCTCGCCACCACAACTACCCTAAATCATCGCCACCGCCGTTGCCGCCACACACCAACACCACAAATCCACGATAGTCACAGATCAGTTGGCGACGAGAGAGGTGAGAGAGATCTGCACAGATTGCCACGCCATCGTCACATATCGCCACACACTGTCACCATTGTCTCACACAAAACAACTGTAGCCTCACGTCATTGCTGTCGCACACATTACGACACCCATGCACATACACACCGCCGCCGCACACACACTACACCAACCACCATAGATGCCACCATAGATCGCGATGGGCAGTTCCTCCGACTGTGAGATCTCCTTAGATCGCCATCAGTTTGTCGACGCTACAATGGAGCAGCTCCTCCATTGGTTGGCAACACTGCAACGAAGCAGCTCTCTATCATCGGTTCTCCATCGCCGGTCGTCGAGCAGTTGAGAGAGAGAGAATTGAGGGTAGGCGGGAAATGAAAGTGGAGAATAATTAGGATTTTGAGAATAATTAAGGTTTGAAATTATTATTTATTAGATTAATTTTTAAATATATTAATTAATTAAAAAAATTTCTGATTTGTGAAATATTAAACAAGCATCTTATTTTTGAAATGAGGATTTCTAATCTATTAAAATATGTAATTTCCACATTAAGAATTGACATACAATTATATTTCAGTTTTGGACAAAATTAACTGATATTCCATGTTGATTTTAGAGCAAATATGAAAATTTTACAAAGTGAATATTTGATACAGAATAAAATCAGATTATTTTGCATATTGTGATATTTTGAATTACAAAAAAAAAATAAAAATTAATATAATGTGAAAAGACAATCCAAATAAATTCTCTGATACGCTCCAAGAACCCAAATTCGCCCTTTCCCATTTTGGCCTTAATTTGGGAGAGTAATTTACCATTCTACCCTCGAGCGCTTTTTTCATAGGAAAATGCTATTCTACTAGATTGATTCCTCCAGAATTTGTACAGATTACTCACAATGAAATAGTTCCCACCCAATTAAAAAATAGCACAAATAATACCATACCCAGTAATCTGTACAAAGTTTGTACGAATGAATCTGTTAGTGTGGCATCTCTCTTTTTCATAACCCTACAAAGGGTATCAGAATCAAACAATAATTTGTTGATATTGTCTTTATTCCAAACACATGTAATTTATGCTCGAGTGCTCCCATCCACTTGAACAAAAAATTCACTTTTCCTCCAACAATCGAGATCAAACGGACTGCAAAGTAAATTATGAAAATGATTAGAAGGGTTGTTACTTATGCTTACTAGTGCTAAATTATGAAATTTGATATATGTATGTATTTTATTTGAAATCAATAAAATTCTGACCATAAAGTTAACGGATAATATATTGTCAATCCACGATTTCACATCTAAATATAGGTCTAGAAGTCGGGTAGATAAGTATGGGTATTCAACACTTGTAACCATTATCCATTTTGCTCATGTATGTCATAAATGAAATCATTCAGGTCCGTGTAATTACTAGAATCCCCATGACATTTTGTTTAAAAAGAATTATAGTTTTGCTGACAGTATAAATTATCTTTTCAATAAATAGTAAAAAAAATAAAAAATAAAAATATGTCCGCAAATGTATAATAAAGCATTATCACCAAATTTACGTAGTAATAGAAAAGTTAGAAAAACAACATTAAGAGCCTGTTTGAAAAGGATTAAAATATGATTTTTAATCTAAGTCAAAGTCAACAATCAATATTAACCACATCATTAATGGATCCCACAACTTTTCAACCACATATGTCAAAAATTGTGTATCACAATCTACTAATAAATCTAATTTTAATTAACATCAAACATCCTCTAAGTACTAAATCCTAAAATATTATTAAAAACATAAATTCATTCATTCGAGGACAATATAACAACCAACATTATCGACTATTTTGTCCATTAGATCATTTCCTTTGCGTCACATCGGATCATTTGATCAGGGTGAATAAATTATAACTTTTTCACAAATTCGATTCTAGAGATTGATATCTTCGATTTCAATTCAAGAACCAATAATTGTACGAAACTCAATTATTTCTTGATTCCCATTTGTAATTTTTTTTGGGTGCGAATTGCTATCCTTATTGGAATAAAATAGCCCTTGTTTGAGCCCCATTTTTGTCAAAAAATATATTTTGAATAATGTATTGATGAAAAATGTATGATTAAAATTAATTTTTTTTAAAAATACATGTGTAAAATTATTTTATTGAAAAATATTCGATTAAAATGGTCCAAACGCTAAAATTCAATTATCCTATCAGTAAAATCTATGAAACCCACAAAAATCGTCGTAGAACGGCGTTGATTTACGGAGAAGCGTAAAATACTAAAATACTGCAACAATGAGCACTCATTACCCAACTCCAGTAACCCCCAAGCAGACCCGCATAGGATGGATCGGCATCGGCGTGATGGGCGGCGCCATGGCCTCCCGCCTCATCTCCGCCGGTTATGCCGTCACTATCTATGCCCGCACCCCCTCAAAAGCTACCCCTCTACTTTCCCAGGGGGCCCACCTAGTTTCCTCCCCGGCGGAGCTCGCCGCCCTCAGCGACGTCCTTTTCACCATGGTTGGCCACCCCTCTGACGTTAAACATGTCGTTATGGACACCTTTTTGCCTTCCGTCAACCCTAACACTGTCATCATTGACCACACCAGCAGTCATCCAGGCCTAGCCAGACACATATACGAGTCTGCCCTTGAGAAGCAATGCTACTCTGTTGATGCCCCTGTGTCGGGAGGTGATATCGGGGCTAGAGATGGGAAATTGGCAATTTTTGCCGGTGGGGATAAGGATGTGGTGGAGTGGTTGAGGCCCTTGTTTGATGTACTTGGGAAGGTGACTTATATGGGAGGTTCAGGAAAAGGACAGAGTTGTAAGATAGCGAATCAGATCACAGTCGGTGCGAATTTAGTAGGATTGAGTGAAGGGCTGGTGTTTGCAGAGAAGGCGGGGTTGGATCAGGGGAAGTTTATAGAGGCGGTGAGGTGCGGAGCTGCCGGATCAATGGTGATGGAGCTGTTTGGGGAGAGGATGATTAAAAGGGATTTTAGGCCGGGAGGATTTGCACAGTACATGGTGAAGGACTTGGGGTTGGGAGTAGATGTGGAAGAGGGTGATGAGGACAATGCGACGGTGTTGCCTGGAGCTGGGCTGTCAAAGCAGTTGTTTTCGGGTATGGTGGCTAATGGCGATGACAAGCTTGGCACTCAAGGGATAATTACTGTAATAGAGAGAATAAATGGCAAGTTAGATAAACATTAGCCTTTGACATTGTGATGATACCGGCACAAAATCAGTGTGGTTAGTATTGATGCATTCTAGTTGCTTTGTATTAAGTATTTGGTGATTACCTATATTTTGTTCAACAAAGTTATACTGCTCGATTGCTTATTACTTACAATGGCATGCCTGCTTAATACCAACTTGGTGATATAGGATCTTTTGTGTTTTCACATGCAGCATGGAACTTGTTGAATTAATTACTGAAGGTTTTGGGTTTTGATGGTGTACCTGAATATGATGTTTGCATATGCTACTAACAGGTCAAAGTTATCTTGTATATTGCTTTTAATATAACGGAAGTTCAGATCTTCATCTGCATTGTCGATACAGTATCATTTCTCGAATTTATCTACGTGGTGGGCACTTTATGTGTTGCCTTGTTGGTTTTATGAGGTGAGGAATTTTATGCATTGCCATGTTAGTTGTATAATTGATCTTATTTAGATAGTTTCCGTTTGGAATTCTGATGCATAAATGGGTCTCCATGTAGCCCCAGGCAATTTTGTACTTGTCAGATGGTCATCTGTTGCTCAAATTCGTGCTCCTGCATCTTACATCTTCTACTCTCATCAGGGGAAGAGTTTTGAGTCTTTGACAAATATTACAATTGAATTTGGCACAATGGTAATCTACTCTAAATTGTTAAAGTACATTTGGACGCATCTCTGATGTGAATGAAATATGTATATTTGAATCCTTTCGAACTTTCTTTAAAGATTAACATAGAAAGGTATCTGAGTTTCAAATTTATTTCACTGTACGAATCCTTTTATGATTTATCTATCAACCCCTGCCTCTTGCTCGGATTTTGATGTTATCTGTTATAAAACAATCATGAATTCTTGGTTTGAGTAACCAAAAATTGCAACTTTTTAAACTAATTGATTACGAGGGAGGAGGGTGTTTAAGGGGCTTGCCAGCGAAGGTTGGAAGTGTTTGGTAAAATGGGGCTGGGGTTGAGATCCAACAGCAAAGTTTGCGGTGGTGGGGATGCAGAGGGAGAGGGAGAGGGAGAGGGAGAGGTAGTGGTAGTGGAGGTGAAACGTGGTGGTGCGGCTGGGAATACAGATAATAATTGGTAAAAATTTATGTAGATTTATGTTGCTTGTATTCATTGGGCTAGGATAAGAGGGTGATTATTGGTGACGACTTTTCTTGCTCAATTTATGATTGAGATTAGTTTGAGCTCTTTAGGTTAAGAATACGTCTTTATTTAGCTAGGCTAGGCCTTTTGCTAAGCCATGCTATTTGATAGATAGCTCCATCTATGAAGTGAATGGTAAGGAAAGAGGGAAAGAAAACGAATCAATATCTTCAGCTTGAGTCCGTGTGATTTATCTATCTTATCATAAGAGCCGAATCCCTACTTCTTCTTGCTAGAAAATGGGAAAAGACTATTTTAAAACAAAGGAGGCAAACTTTTCACTAAATGTTAAATTTGCAAGGTTCTTTGGGCCCTTTTCTTCTATGAAAGATGGAAAATAGGCTGAAAATGTCTTTCCTCCAGCTTTTTTTGGACCCTCATTCTTTCGTAAATCACAGCCTTGCTCCTTTTCAACAGAATTCAGTAGGGAGAGACTCACTTAAAGCCTTCTAAACATTCTGATTCAAACTGAGGGCTGCCACACAAATCATTTTGAATTTTCAAAAATCCATTGAATTTACTTTAGAACTCAAATCTTTTACAGACTTATAGTTGTAACTGAATATCTAAAAGTGAGTCCAACCATATTATGTCAAAAACATTTACAAGGTAGTTCATATTCAGAACACAACGAAGCCAGATACAAAAAGAGGACAAGTCAATTATCTTGAGGATCTATAAGTATATTTGAGCAGTTTGGAGCTTTCATTTCTTGTTCATGCAGTTTGGATATCACCAATTTGTCAAACTTTCCTATCATTTACTTCAGTGTGTTCAGTGGTGTATTCTCCATTTGTGGCCCTGGATTCATCCTCAGCTGTCTCGAGGAGAGATACACCACTTATTGATATCAATTTGGCCATGGTAGAAACATTTGTGTCTTCTTTTTTGTACTTGTACCATGTTGCCCAATAGAGATAGTTAAAGAAGTTGAGGACACTAAGAATGGCCAGAAACCAGTAGAAGAGATTCAAATTCTTCTGGTCCAAGATTTGTCCTTCCAACCACCCTTGTTTGCTAGGTGTAATACTCTCGGTCACTGCATTAATGGTTTCAACAAATATGATGCTCAAGTAGGAGCCAAATGATAGTGAAATCCATGTAAACGAAGTTGAAAGGGATCGCATGCCTGAAGGGGCTTCCTTGTAGAAAAATTCTAACAGCCCAACTAGAGTGAGCATATCGGCTATCTCGAAAATGCCATATTGAAACGATAACCAAAAGAGACTAATTGGCTTTAATGGATTCTTCAAGGATTGGTGCTCTCTCTTTACTTCCACTAGGGCTGCAACTGCCATGGACAGGGCTGAAAGGACCAAGCCGACCCCTACACGTTGAAGTTGAGTAATACCTGATGGATGCTTGGTAATTTTGCGCGCAAATGGCACAAAAGTAAATTCATAGATGGGGATAAGGATGATCTTGAATATTAGGGGGATTAAAGGTACGAATGGAGCAAGGACTTCTAATGAGCCGAGTTTTCGGTCCATTGTGTAACCTTGCTGCACTGAGAAGATTTTTAGTTGTGCCAGACATATATTCATCATAATTGTGCTGGCTATGATAGGTAACATTCTTGTCAAGACCTTTACTTCTTCTACCTGCGTCACTGTGCAGACCGTCCATGGCAAGGGCTCGGCATCTTTGGGAAGAATTGCAGCTTTGTCAAAGGACCTGGATCAGGCCGTGTTATCTCAAGGAATCAGCAACCGTTAGCAAAATAAAAAATGCATTAAGGTTACATAATCTGTATGTATCATTGTATCTTTTCTGGTTTACTCAATATCTTGATGATTTAAGTTGCATGCTTCCAAATTATGTCACAGATTTGAATTGGGGTTTCCCTCGATTGTAACACCCGAAAATTTTAGAAAAAAAAATATTTTGTTTTATAGGCTATATTTTTATATTCTGAAAAAAAAAGTGAGGACTAAAATGAAATAAGTTTAACTTCCTATTTTTTTTGGACCAAATAATTAGATATTGATAGAACGAGATTTAGTACATCAATAATCGTTCTATCAATATCGGACTATTTTGTAGATTTTAATTAATTAGAAGTCTTCGACTCGGCAACAAGTTAATTTGGATATGTTAAGTTTAAGATGTTGACGTTTAAAGAAAATTGTTATATATATATATATATTTTTTTTTTTTTTAAATGGAGACGCCACGTGTGCTTTGGATGGATACCATCAAAATTCTTAAAAATAGATACAATCCCAGCATCATTAAGTAGGTGCTAGGGAATTAATTAGTTTGTTGTAGGATAGACATGTAGAAAATCAAATCCTAACCCACCAACGATGTGTGTCTTGGATGGATATAAGCAAACCTTTTTAGTTGATTAGGATAAAGATTTCTTAGTGCTTTGGTTTAATAAGAATAACAATGTCATACTTCCAATAGGGAGCCTGCATTATAAATACACTATAATGTCAATAGAAATTTCATCACAGAATAGAGAGAGAAGTTTATTTGACTACAATACAATATATATACAAACACGGCAGAAAATAGCTTCCACATCAGGAAAGTGCAAAAGAAAAAAAAAAAAAATATATATATATATATATATATTGGAACTTGCATTTATATCTCTTTAAATAAAAGGTAAAATACTTTATGTGTAAGTGGTTTTCGTATATTTTTATGTTCAATTAATATGTATGAATTGTCAGTGGATCTTCGAGTTCTTCCTAACGGAATGTGAACTCTATTGGGTTCTTTATAACGAAATGTGAAATCCTCCAAGAATTAAAAGTATTACTGATGGGTGTGTCGTTTGGTCATCGATATACTTCATAAAAAATGTGATATGCAGTGTTTAATTTATTGTTATATAATTGTCTATGAAAACTATACGAATCTTATTGGGTATTTTTAAATACCCATTACCCACTCTTACTATAATTTTATAGGCTAGTTCTGGTTGATGTCAAGTGGATCGAATGAACATTAAGTTTTTATGCTTTAAATTTATTAAACTAATTTATTCAAAAACACGTTTTTAAATTAATTAGCTGTTCATCTTTAACTTAAATTTATGGATATTCGGCACTTTATTTATTTTTATTTTTTTTAACGAAATTTATCATTTAGTATTCAAAACAAACAGAAGTGAGTTTGGTGACACCTCAGGATTTATGAAAATATGGGGTGTTACAGAGGTACTTTTGAAGCTGCTTTGTTTTTCCCTGCAATTGCAATAGATTATTAGACTGGAGAATTAATTTAATTGAGTAACTTGAGGCC